AGTCTGCTCAGATGCTATTTATTTTGTTTTCAAATTCATATCTTGTGCCTTCCTCCAAGGAGCTCTACAGCTACATTGTGATTGTAACTTAACAATGGATAATTTCTCTTTGTTGTTTGCATATCAAAATAATGTTCACATTGTATTCATTGGTATGCAAACAACAACCAGAATTGTACAGGTTGGCATTATTTATTTATTTTATTTATTTATTTATTGGACTTATATACCGCCCCATAGCGCTACAAGCACTCTCTGGGCAACCAAAATAATGTTCACATTGTATACATTGGTATGCAAACAACAGCCAGAATTGTACAGGTTGGCATTAGAGATGCACTGCAGGTGCCACAGTGGGTCAGTCCTAACCAATCCCCATTCAAACCAGCCAGGTCACTTACTGGTCTCCATATGGTGCTCAGCTCCAGCGCTGTCATTGTAGTGCCAATTGCAGAAGCAGCCTGGCCAGCCCTTCCATGCCTTCCCACACAACCAGCCACTCATTGGCTGAGTAGGGAGATTCCCCATCTTTGCCGCAGGAAAACAAATAAGAAGTGCCCATTTCTAGTTGGCATCATTTACCACATTTTCCAGTTTGTCTGCATTCTTCTTAAAGTGTGGTGTCCAGAACTGGACAAGGTAGTCAAGATAAGGCATAACCAGTGCGAAATAGAGGGAAACTAGTATTTTATGGGATTTGGAGACTTTACTTCTCTAACTTCAGCCTAAAATTGTATTTTCCTTTTTTCCATGCGCTTTACACTGTTGGCTCATATTCAGCTTGTGATCTACAATAATTCCAAGATCCTTCTCCCATTTAGTATTACTGAGCCAAGTATCCTCCATCTTGTAACTGTGTGTTTGGTTTCTTTTCCCTAGGTGTAGAACTTTGGACTTATTCCTGTTAAATTTCATTTTATTGTTTTCTGCCAAGTGCTTGAGTCTATCAAGATCTTTTTGAATTTTGTTTCATTGTGTTTCCATATGTCTGACAAAGTAGACATGTCCATGGAAGCTTACATTAAATAAAATAGTTAGTCTTTAAGGTTCCATATGTTTTTTTTCCTATTTTGTTGTTTTTTTGGATTTTGCCTGATATGCTTGCACAGATTAACATAGCTACCTCCTCCAAAACTGGAAAGTACCTAGTTGTTTATCCTTCTATAAATTTCATGAGTGTCTCTGTAGCAAATTGTTTAATGTTTGTTATAATTTTACTGAAGATGAATTACCTCTTGGCCCATTCTTCCAATATCTGAATTACCGCCATTGCATGATTGGTGGGCCTCAGGGTAAGAAATATTGACTTGTCGAACATAGTCTGGTGAGTTGTAAGAATAGTAAAATTAAGCAGAGGTTTCAACCCAAATCTATGCATACCTGATCTATCTATTCTACTAAACAGCCTCAGTAGCATACTGTATTATATCACAATCCAGCAACAATTCAATTTATTATACCACAATCCAGATGTTACATATACAGGAATTTTAGATATACACGTAGACCTCATATGAATTTTGTTCACTACAATTTCAGAGATAATTCCACCTGTGCAGCTTCACTGCAAGCCATGGTTTTGACTCATGCAGCACAAGGAACAGGGAAACTCATTCTGAATGGGAGCAGCATGTTCACATCAGAGTGCCAACGGAATTATGGAGCAAGAGCTGGGGTTTTCTCCTTAATCTTTTATTTAAGAAAAATATGTGTGTTGTTTGGATTGCAGACTTGTACTTCATTGCATTCTATATATTTTTTTTACTGATCAGATGCCAGGCATGGTACTGAGTTCACAAATCCTGTGGCAGAAAGGAAGAGAAAATGTTTTGGCTGTTCCCATTCATGTGGACCACATTAATTGCCTATGCCTGTCAAAATAGATTTTTTTTTGTTCTTGCTTAAGGATAAAACTGTGTGACACACATACACATCTGTTGTCATCGTCAAGGGTATAAAAATATTGCTGAAAACAAAAACCAGTTGTCATTTTTAGGCTTTACTTTTACTACCTACTTTGTTACTGAAATATAAAGTCAGGAATGGGTGCAGTTCAGACCAATTTCTACATTAATGAATATCATTAGCAACTCTCAGAATTATCAACAGATTGTGATACTGTAAGATTTTAAAACAAACAAACAAGAAAGGTCTTTGTCCCAATGAGATTGTAGCTGAAATTCTGACTTGAAGAGTAGAAAACCGAGAGTACATTTTGGTCACAATACAAGTGTCATAAAAGTTAAATAAAACATGATTTCCTTGGTTCAGAAAGGTCATTTTCAGTACTTTTATAGCCTGGGAAACTTATCAAGATGAAAGGCTCAGGTGTAATGGTTGTAGAATGGTTACTAGAATGACCATATGTCCCCCCCCCCAAGAGATTCTTAGGCTTCTAATGTGGGAGCAGGAATTTGTGTAGAAAAAGGACTTTCAGCAGATGGAGTTTCTATAGTGAGCTATACTTCCTGGAATTCCCTCTTCTGTAAATCTCTTACAGTTACAGAAGCCCTGTCTTCTTTTCCACCTTCCCAAGAAGGGTCTACAGATCCCACAGGTCCCCTCAGGGAACTGCTGTTCATAAACTGCTAGTATAAATAGAACTGGAAACTACAGACATGTGCTCTGCCACATAGTTAATCCTGCTGAATTTACTTGGTTTAATGAAAACACAAATCTACAAGATTACAACTCACATTTACAGAGATGCCCCAGGTGGATTCCTTCTCTGTTCTTGTTTGTAGTTTGACATTGCACTAGTACAGGAAGCTGGCAATCAACCCCATCAAATCCCCTATGGGAGTTACTGGGATGATGTGGAGACTCCCAATTTATGTACTAGGAATGTAAATCCTCACTTGTCTCATCCTTGCACAAAGACAAGTAATGGCAGCATGCTTCCTCTCACTGGCAAGGATGATGGGGAATTTGCTAGCACTCTAGGCAAAGTTATTAGAACAGCAAAAATATTTTATGTCATACTGCCCACTTCTGTACAAAAATATACAGTTTGCACAATTGTGCAAATGTAAAATCAGAATTCCGCTTCTTTGTCTAAGAATTTGAAGCACTAAATAGGTTGTTCCTTTCTTTTGTAAATATCACTGTGTGTCTTTCTGTGCTTGCAGCATGCATGTGTGTGCCCATGTGCACACACTTGGCTTCTTAAAGAAAAAGGACACCTGAGACATTTTGTACCAGTTGCACAGACCTGGAGGAGAAAGTTGTTTAAGTCTTACTTCCAGTGGGAGAAAAGGAATCTCACAGCATCTCATCATGTTGAGACATTAGATACTGATGAAGATGAGAAATGATGCAAGTGCCACACCCACCACAACATCTATTAAAAAGTGCATTAGTCAAATATATTACACTGTAGTCACATGGTCAATCATGTGCATGCATAGAAGCACCACTTTCCAGGCATGACACCAACCTGCTGTTGATCCACATGTTCTCTTGGTCCCAAAGAAACAATTGCTATAGCAAACAACATTAAGCATATTTTCCTACAAAAAGCTAAAACTGGTTGTTTTCTTCTTGTTATGTGATATAGCAAGAGACTGTATGGTACGACTACTTCCATCAGGCAACCTAACATAACTAGAAAACTACAGAGATAGTTTTAACCCAGTTACTAATAGATTTTACTGTATATTGGGCCATGCATCAGCTCTGATTTATGGCAGCTCTTCCCAGAGTTTTGTAGCTATGCAATACTCAGAAGTGGCACAATGGGACTGTGCAAATTGCCCAAAGCCACACAGGCAATCTTCTCTCCCAGAAGGGACAGGGGTAATTGAACTCCTGATTCCTGGCTCCATAGCCAGTTGTTCCAACCCACTGAGCTACCCAGACGGCTATTGAAAATGTCAAATGCCAAAAGCTAGAAGGGCAACATGACAGATAATTATTTAATGTTTATACTTACCATGTGCCTGCTCATTCAGTTGTAATCACTGTATGCCAGCTGTTCCCCACTTTTGGCCCATTTGCTTATACAGCTCTTGCAACTTGCAATATTAAGTATTTTATTATTATTTTTATTTATTTATTTAACTTCTATGCCACCCACAAAGCATTATAAATGACCTCAAATGTGAGTTACTGTAAATGCAGAAATCCTTCAGTCCCACACCAACCATTGCCAGCACATTTCACAGCCAGGTAGCCAGGGAAATAGAACTGTCTTGACAACAACTGAGACAGCCATTTTAAGTCCAAACATGCTGTAAACTGCAGCTTCCATATATGAACAGTGTACCTGGCCAGTAACACTACAATGGCTAGAGGAGGCTGTTAGGCTGCATGCATCTGAATAGCTGAAGATGCCTCCCCATCCCAGTGAAACTTTGCCTATAGTTGTTTCAGTGGTGCAAAGCTAAACATATTTTATTAAAAACAGACCAAAACAGTTTTTTTCTGTTATCTGAGAGGGCAAGACAATGTAGGACATCAGACTTAGCTTAACCAAACTCCAGAACATCAAACATGCTTGCCAAAACTGCGTGTATCAGCCTTATATGGCTGAGAGGTTTAGTTCTTATCTAGATATCCTATGAAGAATACGGAATAAAGTGCTTACCACTATTTCTGCCTGTTGAGATGAATCTGCCATTCTATTGACATATGCTATAGATTTAATTTAATGCTGTGGTTCAGATGTCTCTTTTGATAAATTTCAGCGAAAATCTGTGCTAAGAAAAGTTGAGCTGTTTCAATATTTACAGAATTTAAAATGCAGGGAAAGGGGAGGAACCATGGTAATTGAAACAGCATTTGTGTATATAGTTGCCGTGAAAATCTCTGAAGCTGGTGGGTTGGTTGGTTAGTTGTTTTGGATATTAACAGGATTTGAGTTAGGTTTTGAAAAGATCCATCTTAATTCTAACTTCTTGTGTTAATTATACAGTAAACCCTTTCTTCCCCCACCATTAATTATGACATTCAAAATCTTAGACCTGAACCATTCTCATTTTACTTCTTTTATTGTATTGTAGGCATATTGGCAATTACGTCAGTGGAAATTGGAGTTGTAGCGGTAAAGTCCATTAACAGCAACTATTATCTAGCCATGAACAAGAACGGAAAAGTCTATGGATCAGTAAGTATTAGTCTACTTTCTTGGTCCCACCCCCTACTGTTCTGCAGTAATCCCTTTTGTTCTCACTAGTGATTTCTTTGGAGATAATCATCATCATCATCATCATCATCATCATCATCATCTTTGAAATGCAGAGCTGGAGGGGGCCTTGTGGATCACCAAGTCCAGTCCCTCTCAAGGAGGCACAGTGGAAAATTGAACTCCCAACCTCTAGCTTCATAGCCAGAGACCTAATCCACTGAGCTGTCAGAGAATCTGCTTATCAGCTGCCAGAAAAATATTGATTTATCATTGCTCCCATAGAAGCTTTGCTTTATAATAGTTCGGATATTTGTCAAATGATCTATCATCTGCCATCATGGCTTTCTAGTGTTTCAGATGGGGATTTTTTTTAACCATACAGTACTTGGAAAAGTCAGAGATGGAATCTTGACCTTCTACATGGAAATAATATGTTCTATTATTAAGCTGTGGGACCTTCCATCCATTTTCGTTTTGTCTACAAACATACCTGGAAAATTCAGAGATGAAATCTATGACCTTCTACATGGAAATAATATGTTATATTATTAAGCTGTGGACCTTCCATCCATTTTCGTTTTGTCTACTCCCTAGGCTGTCAAACAGAGAGGTTTTGACCATAATGAGTACCAGATTTCTTTAAAGATTGAGATTCTGAGGATTGGCTCTGGAGCTTCAGCATATAAAGCACGTGCTGTACCAATGAATTGTATAGCCCATCTTTTCACAGTGTATTTCTGTCCATTCCCCCTTCAGGAGCAAAAGCCCCATGGGCAGCTCAAAGAGCGACAGATAACTTTCTTGTATGCTAGTTCCACCTGTGAGTTGGAAGGGTGAAAATTATTTCAATATTTTTATATGTATTACCTGGATTAAATGGGCAAAAATATAATGGTAAATGCAACTGTATTAGAAATCCTTCCCTCCACTCAAAAAAAAGTGCCCCCTCTCATGGGCATGGCCAGTGTTTCTAAAATGTTCTTTTTATCAGTTTATCAAATTTAGCCTGGTTTGTTTCCTAAGGGTAATAAAATAAAATTACGTAATATGAAAGCATGTTTGCAGTAGTCAATTATTCAGAAGTTGGATTTGGAATCAGCTTGGTTAGCTTGGGAAGCAGAAGAGAAATATGTCCTATATCTGAACCATTCAAACTAGCAGGAACAAAAATGAGAATAACGCAAATAAAGATTGCAGTTCAATGCAGGAAAGTCTTCCCCTCTGAATTAGTTTGTGGCCATAGTTGTGAGGGGTTACTAGGCTTTTTATTCCACTTCTAAGAATTATGAAGTAACCAATTCCAGATTCACTAGCATAACTGCAAAATGTGTTTTGTAGGTTCAGAGTCCAGTGGATCAAAGGTGCAGTGTGTACAAACCTGGACATTTACATCTCGAGCACAATTGTACGAATCTCTGTTCAGAAAAAGATTCCACTAAATTCAATATGTCTTAGATCAGTGGTTCCCAACCTTGGGCCTCCAGATGTTCTTTGACTTCAGCTCCCAGAAATCCTGGCCAGAAGAGGTGGTGGTGTAGGCTTCTGGGAGTTGTAGTGCAAGAACATCTGGAGGCTCAAGGTTGGGGACCACTGTCTTAGATACTCTTACATTTTATATATATATAAGTCACCGTTTAAATGGACATAAACCAGCACAGGGAACCTTTCCTTGGATGGAGTGGCAGCTCCTCTAAGTCCTCAATGGGCCAATGAAGGAGAGGCAGAGAAGGAGGGGCAATGCTTTATTCAGATAACAAAAGTTTACAGAGAAAGAAACACTAGCCTGGGAGAAAAGCACTAAGAAGTGAAAGGTGCAAAAAGCAACTGAACCTCAGGCCACAATGCACTGGGTCTTCTGTCCTCTTGGATGGAAGGCAACCTAATCCTAGGGCTTCTTGGGCCAAATGGATTGGCCTCATGCACAAAATTTGACCCAAAGGATGGAAGTTTCCTATACCTGATATAAATAGTAGTCAGTTCTTTGTGGCAGCTAACTGAAGTAGTTGCTGAACTGAGAGACCTCCTTTAATGAATTCTGTTTACTCCTGGTCCTCAACCAAAACAGAGCAGGTTTGTTCTGATAAAGTGACAGTATGACCATAATTTTTGTTCAGTGTTCTTTATCAACTTAACCTTCATACAACTTTGAAAGTAATATGGACAACTTTCCATGTACTGTTTTAGTAAGGTAAAAGGTAAAGGTTCTCCTTGACATTTTAGTCCAGTCATGTCCGACTCTAGGGGGCGGTGCTCATCCCCGTTTCCAAGCCATAGAGCCAGTGTTTGTCCGAAGACAGTTTCCGTTGTCACGTGGCCAGCGCGACTTAGATGTTTTAGTAATACTTGTTAAATACTTAATAGTACTTAATAGTGCCACAATAATCAGAAACAGAATTGTGATCATCATCCCTGTATTTCATGTCTGGTAGAGCAGAGCTATGGCTGCAGCCCAACTGCTTGCTTAAATTCATTTTCCAAATTCACAGCAGATACAAGATTTGACCTCGCAGAAGTGCTGAGACCATTATGTCATAGCAACTGAACAGGACTTCATTTGTATATTACCCCATAGTGAACAAGCACCCTCTAGTCTAGGCAGCATACAGCACCCAGGACATGAAAACTACAGACATAGTGGTTCTTTTCTTTTTACACTGCATTTGATTCTGATCACAATTTATCTAAGAACATCCAAATTCTAAAATGGCACCTGCCATTTAAGTTTTTGTAGGTGCCTGTATTAAAAACAATCAATTTTTTTAAGAAGTCTTGTTGGACTTTTTCACTCTTTTGATCTATTAAAATGTCTTACCAAAAACAATAAAAGATCAGTGAGAATATGTAACAGGATATTTTGTGCAGCAGCCTCTTCTCTGAAAGAGGGTAGCTAGCCCATGCTAGGTGGTATTTAGGTGAGCCATTAAGCTTTCTTATCTAGCTTTGCTTTTATTGCTTCTAATATAACATGTTCCTATTTATGACTGATGATTTTGGCTCTACTGCTTTTGATTTAAATCAACGGTTAACATTTTGGTTATTGGATAGTGCTGTGCCTTATTCTCCTATGTAAACCGCTTTGAGGTCCCTTATTAGTAAGAGCAGCTAATGGACTGAGCGGACCTCTCTCCAGATTGTGGGTTGTTTGCTTTTGTACATGAGCCACTGCTGCGTGTGAGGGCTGAAAAACAGAATGTAAATGTAATCAAACTCCTGAATGAGTTTGGCAGCAGACATTGGCCCGTAGCCCAATTCTTCACCTATTTTTTTTATATTGTATTTTATCTCAAGAAACATAGTGTTCACCGCATTCAAAATAGTAAGGAGGGAATCCTCCATTAATAGAAAAATAAACTTATCAGAGACTTATCTTTCCATTTACCAAAAGCCAAAGGAAAAGTGCCTGCATACAAAAATATATTTTAAAAAGCTATGTTTTCCAAAGGCTTTCCTGTTTACCATAGCAAAAACAACAGGATTTGCCATTATAATGAGCTATGGTCGATTGGAATTGAGATCGAAATACCAAAGGGTGAGACTCCTCCACCCCCCCCTTTTTTCCCCCTCTGGTATGCAGAACATTTTGTACCTTAGCACCCAGGTTGTATTAAAAAGCTTTCCAAAAATGTACCAGTTAGAATTTTCATTCCCAAGAAGACCTCTAAAAGGTGGATGCAGAGTGGAATGGTATAGCAGTTTGTTTGTTTTTTTGTAAGCAGATGTTTCTGAAAAAATAGCCTCAATAAATTTTTCCTAAGAAACACTCTGAGACTTTTCCAGCATAGCTTTTCAATAATATATGAGCCGTGTGCAAAACATGTGGTAAAAACTAGTAATGACAAAATCGACTAATTTTGCCTTGATGTCCATCTGAACTTCTATGCAGTTATCCATGTCTACTTATCATATGTCTGTTTTCCAGTAAAAGAAGCTAGAACCAGGGCAGATCCTGGAAAAAAAAACAGAACAATGAAGTCAGATCAAATATATTTTGAACCTAGACATTTGACATTTGTTTATGTTTTTAAAAAAATAGACAGGAGCTATGAAAAGTATTTAATAAGAGAGTTGCCCAGACTGTTGGTTAATCAGTTTACCAAACGTCTGTAATATATGGGTATCACATGTGGCTGTGGAGTGCATTGTAAGACAGCACATCATTTTTAAAATATCAAATTAAATTAATATCAAGTCCAGAAAGGTTGTTTTTTCATTGGGAACACACTTAGAGATGCTTAAGGGATTCCAACGGAAACTGACTTGATATACCGTATTTTTCGCACCATAAGACGCACTTTTCCCCACAAAACAGGGGGGAGGAAAGTCTGTGCGTCTTATGGAGCGAAGAAAACAGATTATATTTTCCTGTTTTCTTCTCCTAAAAAATTGGTGCATCTTATGGAAAGGTGTGTCTTATGGAGCGAAAAAATACGGTAATTCCCCAGAGATATCATAACATAGCTGTCCACAATATTTTATAATTTTCCTAATATTACAATGAAGTTCAAGGTTCTAAAATGTTGTCAAAAGAAAAGCATGTTTTGAGAGAAAGCATATGGTCAAGTTTAGTCTATTAGCTTCTTCTGTGTCTTATGGAGCGAAAAAATACGGTAATTCCCCAGAGATATCATAACATAGCTGTCCACAATATTTTATAATTTTCCTAATATTACAATGAAGTTCAAGGTTCTAAAATGTTGTCAAAAGGAAAGCATGTTTTGAGAGAAAGCATATGCATTTAAATGCACTTTTCACACAGATTTTCAAAATTATTATTAGCAGGTTCAGAAACAAGACAAATTGGACTTTGTGTGAATACACATTAGATACAGAATGGCCCATTTATGCCCAGCCATAGCACATGGGAAGGGAAAAGTTAACCCTTCCCTTTCCAGCCACAATTCTAACAGAAACCCTGCCTTTCCTTGTTCCAGCTGGACTCTTCCAGGCTTTGTGCATTGTGTGTGAAGGGGGCTGATTTCCATTGCGATCATGCTAAGGTATCATAGTGAGATGGTAAAGATTAAATCAACAACAAAGAGATGGGGTCGTCAGCTCGCTGTGATGAGTTTGCTATTCATTTTGAGGAAAAAATCGCTCAGATTCGCAGTGGGCTGGACTCCACTGTTACTGCAAAATCGGAAGATGTGCCCAGTGTGCCGTGCTTAGGTCAAACTTTAATGGATGAGTTTCAATTGTTGAGACCCGAGGATGTGGACAGGGTGCTTGGATCTGTCCGTTCTACCACCACGCCGCTCGACCCTTGCCCATCTATTGCTTCTAATATAACATGTTCCTATTTATGACTGATGATTTTGGCTCTACTGCTTTTGATTTAAATCAACGGTTAACATTTTGGTTATTGGATAGTGCTGTGCCTTATTCTCCTATGTAAACCGCTTTGAGGTCCCTTATTAGTAAGAGCAGCTAATGGACTGAGCGGACCTCTCTCCAGATTGTGGGTTGTTTGCTTTTGTACATGAGCCACTGCTGCGTGTGAGGGCTGAAAAACAGAATGTAAATGTAATCAAACTCCTGAATGAGTTTGGCAGCAGACATTGGCCCGTAGCCCAATTCTTCACCTATTTTTTTTATATTGTATTTTATCTCAAGAAACATAGTGTTCACCGCATTCAAAATAGTAAGGAGGGAATCCTCCATTAATAGAAAAATAAACTTATCAGAGACTTATCTTTCCATTTACCAAAAGCCAAAGGAAAAGTGCCTGCATACAAAAATATATTTTAAAAAGCTATGTTTTCCAAAGGCTTTCCTGTTTACCATAGCAAAAACAACAGGATTTGCCATTATAATGAGCTATGGTCGATTGGAATTGAGATCGAAATACCAAAGGGTGAGACTCCTCCACCCCCCCCTTTTTTCCCCCTCTGGTATGCAGAACATTTTGTACCTTAGCACCCAGGTTGTGTTAGAAAGCTTTCCAAAAATGTACCAGTTAGAATTTTCATTCCCAAGAAGACCTCCAAAAGGTGGACGCAGAGTGGAATGGTATAGCAGTTTGTTTGTTTTTTTGTAAGCAGATGTTTCTGAAAAAATAGCCTCAATAAATTTTTCCTAAGAAACACTCTGAGACTTTTCCAGCATAGCTTTTCAATAATATATGAGCCGTGTGCAAAACATGTGGTAAAAACTAGTAATGACAAAATCGACTAATTTTGCCTTGATGTCCATCTGAACTTCTATGCAGTTATCCATGTCTACTTATCATATGTCTGTTTTCCAGTAAAAGAAGCTAGAACCAGGGCAGATCCTGGAAAAAAAAACAGAACAATGAAGTCAGATCAAATATATTTTGAACCTAGACATTTGACATTTGTTTATGTTTTTAAAAAAATAGACAGGAGCTATGAAAAGTATTTAATAAGAGAGTTGCCCAGACTGTTGGTTAATCAGTTTACCAAACGTCTGTAATATATGGGTATCACATGTGGCTGTGGAGTGCATTGTAAGACAGCACATCATTTTTAAAATATCAAATTAAATTAATATCAAGTCCAGAAAGGTTGTTTTTTCATTGGGAACACACTTAGAGATGCTTAAGGGATTCCAACGGAAACTGACTTGATATACCGTATTTTTCGCACCATAAGACGCACTTTTCCCCACAAAACAGGGGGGAGGAAAGTCTGTGCGTCTTATGGAGCGAAGAAAACAGATTATATTTGCCTGTTTTCTTCTCCTAAAAAATTGGTGCGTCTTATGGAAAGGTGCGTCTTATGGAGCGAAAAATACGGAAAAATACTTAACAGAAAAGATATAGAAAAAGAAATAACAGGGGTAAAGTCAGGACATATTTGTTGAAGTTCAAGGTTCTAAAATGTTGTCAAAAGGAAAGCATGTTTTGAGAGAAAGCATATGCATTTAAATGCACTTTTCACACAGATTTTCAAAATTATTATTAGCAGGTTCAGAAACAAGACAAATTGGACTTTGTGTGAATACACATTAGATACAGAATGGCCCATTTATGCCCAGCCATAGCACATGGGAAGGGAAAAGTTAACCCTTCCCTTTCCAGCCACAATTCTCCATAGCACATGGGAAGGGAAAAGTTAACCCTTCCCTTTCCAGCCACAATTCTAACAAAAACCCTGCCTTTCCTTGTTCCAGCTGGACTCTTCCAGGCTTTGTGCATTGTGTGTGAAGGGGGCTGATTTCCGTTGCGATCATGCTAAGGTATCATAATGAGATGGTAAAGGTTAAATCAACAACAAAGAGATGGGGCACAAACATGGGGGGGGACCCCAAACAAATCCCAAAGTGACACAAAATTACAAAGGGCAAGTTTATTTCTGTGCATACTCAAGATTTTGCAGAGCTATTCCTTTCTGAAATGTGTACAATAAAGAAAATACACCCATTACATAATCATAATGGAGAAGAGATGTATGTCAAAATTATTAATTTATAGATATTATTGCAGGGGCAGAATTTGGGGCTCACTTTAGAAACAATTCAACTGAATGCAAACCAATATAAGATAAACACTAATTACTACATGGTATGTGAATTCTAGATTTATTGAGAGATAGCAAAATGTTTGTCCTATGTAAACTTCATCGGATATTACACTAGTATTCTAAGAGTCAAGGTTTTTGCTGGTATTATGTTACTATTTAAATTATAGCAATTCAGTCTAAATGTGTGTCCACTTATATATATCAGCATAGGCATATTTGATGCAAATCAGTGTCCTCTTTTGTGGTGACACATTTCCTCTTTCTAGTAACATGCAGATAATGTGTACCTTTCATAGATGATGTGGGTGCGTAAGGTTGTTAGTTCCAGCACAAACAGTGGTAACTTGTGGTTTTCCCCTTCTAAGTATTCACGTAAAGTGAAGGGTACAACAATATAGATGGGAGAACTGTACAAAAATTTATGGTCATGTAGCAATGACCGGAGAAAAACATGGAAATTACTAAGTGTTTTGCAGAATGCTCTTGAAACTTGAGTTTTGAACTTCTCTCTCTTGCTCTCTCTCTCTCTCTTTCCTTTCAAACAGAAAGAGTTTAACAATGACTGTAAACTAAAGGAGAGAATAGAAGAAAATGGATACAATACATATGCATCATTCTTTTGGAAAAATAATGGAAGACAAATGTTTGTGGCTTTGAATGGAAGAGGAGCTACACGGAAAGGACAAAAAACCAGGAGGAAAAATACCACCGCTCATTTTCTCCCAATGGTAGTTGAGCCACAGATGAAGGACCTGTTCTATTGATAGCAGTTGAACCAAAGATCATTTGTCAGGAATACTTGGTAATCCTCTTGAAGAGGAAAGGCAGAAACAGTGCAGACGTCTGCTTGATTGAAAAGAGAGGGGAAGCCTTTGAAGGTTTTGTACTCTCTGCTGGCACATGAAGTGCTTCTAATTAGTTCTGTGTCATATCTTATAATCAAGACACAAGCTGGATCAAATGCAATGGGAGTTCTTTCCAGTGTGAACAAATTATTATTATTATTTTTTATCTTGCTGATAGAACTTAAAGGACATGAGACAATGTATTGAATGATGTTCGGAGAAAGTTATTTATGGAATACTAACTCATATCAAAGACCTTCATTGCTCATTCGAGCCTAATGATCCAATGAACGGTTAGGCACGCAAGCATTTACTGGAAGCACATGGATCATATGCAGAAATGAAGAAGATTCTGGAATGGTCTTGTGGAAGAAATGAATAGGATTAAGAAATATAAGCACATTAGAGTAAAACTGTTCTAACAAAATAAATAGTATGGTCCTCCCCCTTATATGCTAACGCCATGCCTTTGTATTTCTCCCTAAGTTATTTATTTAATAGGATGTTAAATATCTTTCTTCTCTCTCTTTTTTTTGTTTGTTTGTTTGAAGGAGTTTCTTGGTTGCTTCCTATTGCTTAATTTTTCTTTTCCTCTTCTCAGTATTTTGTACAAAAATGACCAGGTCAGATGTCAACAGCTTATACAAGTCTCTAAGAAAAAAAATTGATAAGGCTTAAAGGAAAATGTAGAATTGTGGTTAGTGCTTAACCCCCCCCCACCTTTTCCCCCTTCTTCACCTCTTGAAACTCAATTTTGTTTTAATTTTGCACTTAACAGGATCAGATATGCATGGAAATTGCAACATGAACTGTTCCCCCCATAGGAACACAACTTTCCATAATTCATCATCTGAAGAGTCTTGCTGCTATTTTGAAGTGGACAGAGTTGAACTAGTCCTCAGATGTGTGTTTATCTCCTAATTATTTCAGTGTAATGCCTGATCTCAAAGATATTGAAATTTAATCAGCGCTATTTGCCTTAACATATCCTTAATTCGTGGGATCATGTATTTTCAGAGTAATGCTGAGATAAGTCTATGGAGTAGCTAACATCTGAGGTAATAATTTGCCTTTTCCTCTCACCCTAAAAAACAGAGCAAAAAAAGAGCTAAATCCTATGATATTTTGACTGCAGTCAGTATCTTTCAGAATAGCCCTGACTGGTGTTGTGTTGAAATTTGCAACCTCAGCCAGAAGAACCATTCTCTTTAACTTGAGGCATTTTCAAATGTTACACGAGAGTTGAGGAAAGAAAAATGGAAATGAATTCCTTTTCTCGTGCCACACTGAAAAGTGGAATTTGTACATATACCTCTGATAAGATGGCTGTGTTTCATACGTTAGTACAGCTCACATTCACTTCGGGGGGGGAAGCATGTTCCAAAGAGAAGATGCCTACACCATATGTGCTCTATTCAAACGTTATGCCTGGAAGAGTGAAAGGCAAAGTGGACAGGGAGATATAACGAAGCATGCACATCCTGCTCCTATATCCCAGCACAACTCTGAAGTAAAGCAGGCTTTCACATATTCAATGCAAATGCCTCTCCAGGTGCTTACAACACTCCTCTGATGAAGAACTATGATAAGGGAGGTCTTTCAATCAGAAGAATAATACTGTATAGCATATTCAGTTGGAGGTGCATACAAGTGCTTCTGCAGGCCTTCACATGAAACACATGAAGATGCGCCTTACTTCAGGGTGGATTTTTTTGGGGGGGTGGGAAGGTAGCAGGTGGGGGCTTACATGTGCTTCATCCAACTATAATCTTTCACATTTTCAGGCAAAGTGCATGAATAAAACTATAGTGTTTGGAAGTGCCTTAAAACTCTGTCATATTAGCTTAGGATGTCATACACCTACTATTAACAGCAAATGACAGATGTTAGTCCTAGATACTATTACAGACTTACAGCTAAAACTCGAAATATTATTTGCTGAAGATAAAAGTGCAAACTGAGCAATAGATACATGTATTTTCCATCACATGAGTGTGCAAGCCATCAAATATGTATTTCTATTCCTCAGAGAAATGGTGGCTCAAAAAGTGAATGTTGGGTATTCAGTAGAGAAATCTTTCACGCCAAATGAGAAACAACCTTTAAAAAAACCGGAGGTCTTTATCAGCAAAAACAAATATGTGTTTCATGCTCCTCTTTCACAGTACTGTGCTGGTTAGGAGCTTTAATTTTGTCTCTGAAACATAAAAGGGAAAGAGTTCATCTACATCAGACCATTTAAAAATACTTTTAAATCTCTCATTGATTCACTGATTGCTTTTACAGTGGTGCCTCGCATGACAACGTTAATTCGTTCCACGAAAATCGCTGTAAAATGAAAACGTCATCATGCGATTTTAAAAGCCCATAAAAATGGATTAAAACCCGATTAATGTGTTCCTAGGGGCTTCAAACTCACCGTCCAACGAAGATCCTCCATAGCGTGGCCATTTTCACTGCCCGTGCAGCAACGAATCTGTGCCAGAAAACAGCAGGCGGCCATTTTTTTTACCCGGCAGCCATTTTGAAACCGCCGATCAGCTGTGTGAAAAACATCGCTTTGCAATGATCAGTTACTAAAACAGGACCGATCATCGCAAAGCGAAATTCACCTACAGGGAACATTGTTTTGTGATCGCAAAAACATCAACGTAAAGCGATTTTGTCGTCAAATGGAGTGCTCGTAATGCAAGGCACCATAACGCAATTTTGTCGTCAAACAAAGTGCTCGTAATGCAAGGCACCACTGTACTGTGACACAAAATCCCCAAGTCAGCAGTATTTTGCTTACCATGCAGATAGCAAAGCCTTAACCTGACCATATATATATTGGCAGATACCATTTGCCTGACTGTGACTGAATATTTCTCAGCCATCTCAGAAAAAAATAGTGGAATGTGGAAAGCCCTCCTCTAAAGTGCCTCAGACAAAATGGCAGTTTGTCACCTGCCAAACATTCAATATATGCCCTAAATCCAAGTGGTAGTCTTAGCTACAGTACCTTATTCGAATTCACTACAGAATGATGAATACATATCTCATCAATTCAGTCTGTCAGTGTATAGAAAACTATATGTCAGTGAGACAGATCCTGGCCTATGTTCATCCTATTCTTTTTTAGGGACAGTTTTTGATTCTGTTTCCCTTGGAGGTATAATCCAACAAGCAATTCCCCACCTACACCTGAGGTAGCATTGTCTAGGAAGTTTTACAATGTGATCTGCTATGGAAGTAGACTAGGCTTTAGGCCTAGAAGAAAAGAGAGAAAGCCCCATGCCTTACTGAGGTAAATGGATGACCCCCTTAGGGGCAAGTTACCCTGCATCTTTGCCTACTTCAAAGTTGTCTACAATAATCACACTAGAACAAACATATACACTCTAAAGTAAGGGACTTGAGGATCAATAGCCACTTTTATTCTTCTGTGTATATAACTTTTGAGAGCCAATTTAAAAGGAACATCTACTTTTATTTATCACAATTTATACAATGGCTCTGAGATGCAATATTGAGCATTTTAATGGAGTGCTCCTATTTTCACAGCTTTATACTGAGTAAATGCAATCTTCAGTTAACATACTATCAGCTTTGTTCAACTGAAAAAAATATAAGTTTTTTGTTTGTTTGTTTTCTCTTTAACATTAGAGAGCTGTGAATAGTTCATCAATATAACCATAATGAAGATTCATTTTGTTAGAGCAAGTTAAGTAGGAAACTGTACATCAAGTCAACATGTACCACTCTCTTCACATTGTATTTCATTAAATAAATGACTAAATGTGTATGCCTTCTGTGCAGTGTTTGTAGTGGAAAACAGAAATAGTTTTATTAATATTACGTTGGTTCGAATTACTTCTATGGGACTACATTGATGCTGCAGTTTTGTCTTTAACATTTCTTCTTACAAAAGAAATCAGTTCCATTTTAATTGTTTGAAAATAGTATTTTGTTACTCAGACTATGGAAATTTTACCCTCTTTTTTAAAAAGCAAATATGTAGTCTCTATAAGGTCCATTAATATATTTTTGTCCCTGTAAAAAAATAGTGTTTTACAAACTTGCCTGAAAGGGAGAAAATCTTTAGGCATGATCCATCACAGCATGGGAAGGATTGGTGCAAAGCTAACAAACCCCAGCTGCCACTGCTTTTGCCCTCTCTGGGAGCAAATTACTCAAGACTGATGGAGAAAAAGAGAAAACATATCTAACTGAGCCATTTGTCAATTTTTTAACTTGGCTACCATGCCTGCACTAGGATAGATTATGCTTAAAATTTTCTCCTTAGAACATGAAATGTATTTGCAAATCCTTAAATTAAAACAAATAAACAACTCGCCTTAAACAAAAAGGGCACAGCCCGTTAGAATGGTCCCCTACTCATGCACTGGTGAAATGCATGGCAGCATAGCCATAGTCCTGCATCAGTCCCTTTGATTTCACAGCAGTTTGTGCCAGAAAACATCATGGTGAACTCCATACAAAGTTTAGTGGGCAATGCAGCATTATTATATTAAGTGGCTAATGTATGTTGTTAATTCTTTTTGTGGATGAACAAAGCATTTTAAAATAACTAAAACTACCAACTGTATGAGATTTTGGATGTTGGAGATAAATGCAGTAACTTGAGAGTGAATAACAAAATGCTTGTCATATCAAAAGAGAGCTTTCCTTGTGTTATGTTTGTTTTTGTTTTTTGCTCTCTTTTTTTCAAAGCATTAATTGCATCTGACAAGGCATGATGGACCACCCACAACAAAAATTAAATGTTTGTTTGGCAAATAAAGTATTGGATGACCACTCTTAACAGTATCTATGGTATAAATGAGGTTCTCATGTCACACAGCCATTAACATTGCTTTGGGGTATGGGGGGAGGGGATATGTAAACATGCATAATTATAGGATTAAAGAATGCTTAGAAGAGCTTCTTGCAAAATGTACGGCTGCTTACAGATGTTTTGAAAAAAGGACAAAAGTCTCTACCCCAGGTGAACAGAGATAAAGGTGTGGGGTTTTTAAAAACTACTAGTCTTTTAGACTCTTGTTTGGGTCCTTCTACAAACACACATTCAAAATCCCCCTGATATTTTACCCAGGAAGAAAATTTTCACATTTACTTTCAATTTCACTTGAGGTGAACCTGCAAATCATTTGAGGGTGTACAAAAAAACAAATCCCCCTGTGAATAGCTGAAATCCTGTTGCACGGTTAGACAAATAGCGTAACTTGTAGATGCAAATTGCCCTATGTTTAGTAATCTCAATAGACGTTATCTGTTGCACACCAAGTCATGTAACTCAGATAATGTTTATGGAGATTTCTTAACTTACAGCAATTCACATTAAGAACCTAATGCTTTACATAATTGCTCAATAGGATTTTGACCAAGGATTGCTCCTTTATTTCTTGTAGTTGATATGGTTTTCATTTCGTGGTGAAATGCTTTCAATAGTTCACCGAATTGTTTTCGGATTTTGTTGTGAAAATGGAGCCCTACAGTCATTTTATTAGTTGTTGAGGATTTCAATCCCCAGCTTTTTTTCCTTTATTTTACTAAAGGCCCCGTGCAACCGACGTGCTTTGGTATCTTCTGTGGCAGGACTATGCTGCAGCTGGATTTTCCAAGGTAATACCATTGTGCCTGAACAAAGGCACAATCTATAGGTAACTTTGCAGGCATAGTACTGACTAAAATGAATTTGAACAACTGGTGCAACTCCTGTTCATTTCAAGGTAGCTTATGGTAGAAAAGTTCCTGGGTAGATGTGCCCTTAAATGTTTTTCTATATTCATCATATATATGAAAGAACTCAATCAAGATTAAAAAAAAGTTATTGTATGGTGTGCTAATGTTTTTTTTTAAAGAAAAAATAGGTTGAACAACATGTACAGTATATTTAAATAATAATAAATAAATTTCTGGGAATAGAGAATGAATGCTTTTGCCTTTTTTATCTGTCCTGAACTTACAGTATGTGATAATGAGAAAGAAAAATAACCTTAAAGCTGCAGAGCTGGAAGGGATCCTATGAATCATTGAGTTCAGTGAAGAATTGAATGCCCAACCTCTGGCTCCACTGAGTTATCCAGCAGTTCAAACGAAAGATCTTATGCAATGAAGAATGGGGTTTAATGAAGGAGTATTGAGAATTTTGTTTCAGTTCATTTCTTTTTCTTCAGAATTTACAAAAATACATTTCTTCATTTCTAGGTGGAAAGAACTTATGACGAAAAATATTTCAATGTGAGAGTAAGTGACTGATCTATAAATCCAGGCCAGGGGATTTTGAGTTCTCAAGTCAAAACATGTACCGGTATTTGTATTTTACCGCATTGTCTCCTCTTTTTATCAGCCTTGTTGCCGCCACCCATCATCTGCCTGACATTTTCCATTTTAGACCAAAAAAAAAAAAAACCCCTCAGAAATGTCTTAGCTAAAGTGGGAAGTGGTGGCGGCAGCAGGGGGGAGCTTCCAGTGGAAACAGTTACAAAACCTTAGAGCCAGCTCATGTTGAGCTTCAAAATTCTGAGTGCTCCAAAGTGGGATTTTTGCCTTACACTTGTGCCTCAGTTGAGCCAATTGGTGCCCTCAGTGACGCAAAGGATAGAACTTGGAATGACAATGAACTCTGTAAGAGGACTTACACTGTAAGCACAAATATGAACTAGACTAAAGATTGTCTGCTAGTGCCTCGGCAGGTTTAAGCAGACCTCTAGGGGGTTTAAGCAGACCTCTAGGTTCTTCCCATGTGATTCCCTATAACAATTCCTCATTCCAAAGGTTGCCCTTTCCCATTCAGCATTCTTCTCAGCCACTTCGAGGCACAAGCAGTTGAGACTGAGAATGAACCATTGACTCTGCCAATATGTCTGTGGCTTGTTTTCACTAGAGGGCAATTTTATACACTGTTGGAAAGACATGGGAGCTGCTTCCGGAAAGCTTATCCCACATAAAGACTGGTGCCACAATCCTTTTGTTTTTCTTTTCATTATGTAAACATCAAAATTGCAACCTCTGTAAATAAGAATCACACAATTCAGCTGAATATCACGGGTCTTTCCCATGTGTAAAAGAAGAAGAAACATAGTTTCTCTTGGATTCCTCTTTGAGGCCAAGATGTCCTGGGTAGCTAGAAATGCATAGTGACACCTCCAGCTGGTATGCTACCCACACTCAAAGCAAAAGTGGTACTCTTGTGACCGGATGACTGCACTATGCTGTCCATGGGACTGATCCAGTGACTGCAAACAGATTGTTGTATGGAATACCCTCACGCTAACAAGGCAAATTGAAAAATTTACTGCATTTAAAGTATCTGTATTAGTATATGGATGT